CGTTGATCATCTATTACGTGTTGCTTTCCTCAGGTGCAGTTTTAAACTCTGTAGTTATATACGTCATGCTTCGAAGTGGTAAGGCACGGCGAAATATTTCAAGCTTTTTGATTTGCCATTTGTCCTTCACCCATCTGCTGTTTCACTTCGTCATTCCGATGTCACAGCTAGTCCAGTCACTTTCCTTGCTATCATCTACATCATGCAAAGCTTGGGTACTCGTCAGCTACACCTCTGCGGCGGCCATTTTTAGTAGTTTGGCTGCTATTGCGTGGGATGGACACAGAAACGTATTACGGCCTTTTCAAAGCTTATCACCCAGAAAAATGAACACATTCCTATTCTTGGTTACCTCGATTTGGTGTTACGCCTTCATAACATCTCTCCCGTTTTTGTACAGCATCAAGAGCTCCTCTGGAGTAATTTGCTCCCAAGAAAACAATGGCACTGAAAGTTGTAGAGATTATAGCTACTGCACGTTACCTGCAGACTGGAAAGATCAGCTTACAAGAACCTTCTACTTTGTGGTGGCGTTTGCCGCTCCTTTGTTGTACACGTTTTTCGCCTACGCAAAGATCGTCGTAAGTTTATGGAACAGAAGCAAACATGGAACAATTCACAAGGCAGTTGCCAAGGCTAAAATGAAATCAACTCGCTTAATGGTCGCTGCTGTCCTAGTTTTTGTGGTCTGCTGGGCGCCAACCTTAGTATTGCTATTACTGGAGGCGTATAGCATAGTAGAAAATTTATCGTCTGAATATTCTTTCAGAGTTTATTTTTGGTGTATAATTTTGCAGATATCCAGCTCTTCTATAAACCCTGTCATCTACGCATTTCTGAGCCCTGAATTCAGGAGAGGAGTTCTCAGATATTGTTGCTTCTGTTGTTCAAGCCATTGTCCTTTGGGTCGCGTGGAACCTGTCATCTAATATGGACGAATCAGAGTAGAAAATAAACAATAAACGGAACAGCAATTTTTCTGCGTATGTTCGTACTGCATGCGTGCGTGGACCACTTGAGCGACTGGTGACAAGTATAAGACCCAAGGAATTATGGAAGCAAGACACGTCAATATTTTGGCGTCCTCTGGTCTCTGTCATAAACTGAAGATATCCTTATGTTTGTGCACGCACCGCACTGTATTGAGGTGCACTTCGCTGACCAAGAAGCAACAACAGGTGCGGTGTGGGAGTGACTATTAACGGGCATGAAACGTGAGGGAACATGGAAGATGAAAGAATTAATTCTGCATTCCCTCTTGTGCATCCCATTGTATTTTGGTATAACTTAAGGGAATTTTAATATATCAGAAAAAAAAGTCCAATTGGTCTTCCTTACAACTCTCACAGACATTAGATGCTTAAGAAGACCTTCCTTACTTAGATGCTTCACCCCCGCTTAAAAATATTTGCTCTTCTGAGACAAAATGAAATAAGCAATTATTAAGACTGAATTGGAGTGTTACGAGAATATCGTCATCAATTCCCAAAAGTATTCATCCAAGGGTCGTGAGAAGCCTAAGATGAAATAAAATCGTAGCAGGTGCCATTATAAATCCTAACGAAAAATAGTGCACATAAGGTCTTAAAATTGAGGAACGGAAAAAATGTACTTTTGTTAACGTGATTCTTGCAAAATAGACAAATGGATTGAGATACAGGGATCTATAGCAACCCCAGTCATTTTACCATACTTATTTAGTTTTCTGCAGGTATATTTCTCTGGCCCGTACCAGTACCCGTTTCTTGGGGACAATTCGCAGAGAGCTTTTCTTGACGCGTGGTTGTAGAACACAATGCTTTAATCCAGATCATTTCATGCTGGTGCACAACCTACAAAGACAGACATTTCCACCCTTTGTGATATTTGTGTTGCCTCGAATTGATCTACGCCTGCAGCAAAAAATATTCTGTGCGATAAAGGGTGGGGAAAGTACAAAACTGCAACAAACGAACATAGCATTCACAGTCCCCGACACAAAACTACTCTTATACAAAACCATGTGCTACTAAGCCACGTGACGTAATCAATATCAGTTCGCATGTCGTTCATTCGGCCGCTAGTCGGCTCCAACACCATTATTTACAAGCGCGGTAATACTTCGGTGAATTATGTAGTGTATCACAAAAATGCGATTGAACCGTTAAGAACAAGGCTCCAAAATTGTAGATCGCCCATTGGATCACTCACAGTTTCTTTGGAAACTTATCCTTATATTCATTGGAAGAATTAGCCTAATAGGATTTTTTTTCCTGCGTGCAACCCGCCTACAATATCCTTCATTAATATCTAACAAAGAATCTTTTGCAACAACCTAGTTTACGTTCTTGTCACAGAGATATTTGTTTGATCACCTAAATGCTAATCTTTTTCTGTATTTATGACTAACTTATACACCAATTTCTTAAATTTTATTGTCCTGTAAAAAGTTATAGACAAAACTGCCGACAGCAGTCTCAAGCTCAGAGTCAATACTGCTTCGTGTCTTGAAGTCGTTTGACGTCATTCCTAGCTACGTTAAATATGGGAAAACATAATGTACTCCTACAATCTTCCTCTACAATGCAACTGAAGTATGAAGGTTGCCTTATGTGTGTGCTTTACATGTTTTCGAACATGATGTGTCTATCTTACGCTTATACCACTGACATGGATCCCAAATTATTCGGGGCTCAACCACTGAAGAAAGCAAATATTTCTTCATTTCTGATCGACCTGCTGTCTTCGTATCGAAGTTTGCCACGTTCTTGTTTGTAAACGTATCTCGTCATCGGGACTAATCCGGTGATTACGGGACGATTTACAGCAGCAACAACAATAACAACAACAACAAGCAAATTTGATGCTATTTTTCCTAAATTCAGGGCAAAAAAAAGCGTATACAGCAGTACTAACACAAGAGCTTGATGCCGGTGCGATAAACATGAACCATATCATTAAAAAATATTTCGTCACTCCAGGCACTCCGTCAAAAACTTGAAATTTATCTAACATGCTGCCCAAAATACTTGGTCCCCAGCAAAGAACGAAGCCAAACACGGCTACAACCAACAAGCGAATAGATTTTGACTTGTGTTTCGCCACAGCGCTGTGAATAGCTCCATTTTTGCTTCTGTTCCACAAGCGAACTGCAATTCTTGTGTACGCAACTGCTATATAGGAAAGAGGCATGATAAACGCCACAAAAAAATAAATCGTCTCGGAAAGCTGAATTTGCCAAGTAGATCGCGATGTGTCACAGAACATATACTGTCTACATGAATCACTGTTGTTTTCTGCCCGACAATAGTTCACAGTCTGTACCTTCACACTGTGAACAAACGAAATGGAAGATAACACAGCATAGGCCCAAATGACTCCAGTCATTATTAAATATGAACGAAGGGGTCTGTAAATCAGGCTCTTAAAAGGCTGTAAGATGTTTTTGAGTCTATCCCACGCAATAGCAGCTAACGTGCTAAAAATAGCGGCTGGGCATGCGCGGTCGACAAAGACAAACGCCTTACAAGACTGAATATCTCTATGAAGCAGACCCCCGTAAAAATTCATGACGATTACAAGATGAAACAGTAGATGAGTCACAGATAAATGAAAAAGTAAAAAGCTGGCAAAATTTTTCCTTAGTTGTCCACTTCGTAACATTACGTAGATGACAAAAATGTCTAACACGCCGCCGACTCCGAACACGGCGACGTAGACAAGCAAAGAAAACACTTCAATTATATGTAAGGAAGCATCTGTCCATGAACCGGAGTACTCTGTGCCATTAAAAGTCAAATTTCCAAATGTCGCATTCATTGTCTCTTAGAGTTTTATCAAATATCCATTAAACCACTCACGGATCGCGAGTTTCGTACAAAAAAGAATCCGGTTATGCTGCCAAGGAAAACTTGTCCTTGCGCAAGCTGTTGTCAAAATGATTACCAATGATCTTGGAAATGACAAGTGCGCCCTGTAAAAAGGACAAAAATGGGTTTTAGGTGAGAATGTTAACAATTTATTTCTTGAAAGCCTTATACTGCAAGACAAGCACCACTTATTGGACCGACTTGCGCAAAAACAAGAACAACTGAAATAACGTTTCCATGATTAAAAATCTACTATTTACAATAGCCATTTTTTTTGTCAATGTGATTTAAAATATGTGTGTTATTGTGCGGAATGATTGGTAATTAAATTTCAAAAAATTAAAACCTTATGTTGCTTACCAGTCGGTGGAAGTGGAGAAAGAAGATGTGATAGACACGTTCCAAGCCAGAAAAATAATTCAAATGTCAAACTTCTCTGTTTAAAAGCTTCCCCCTGTTTAGGCAGAATATGAACTTCTGATAATATAGCATGGGATCTTTAATTAAGTCAAGAAGATGTCAAGAAGATGTCAAAAAGATGTTAATAAGATGTTCCCGCGCACAACTTTCTTGTCTTAGGCTTAGGCTTATGGTAAGAGAGGATAATTGTTCGAACACTACTATGATTATGCAAAACGAAGACACTGATAAAATTCAAAAAAATATTTCAAGGTAAATCTCGGTGGGAGGTGTTTTAATAACTTTATTGATTAACTGGCTTCGTCAGTTGCGTATTTGTCATTAGGAGGTTTTTGTCGTGGCTTAGAAAAATCAAACACGATTACTGTTCTCGATACTATAGAGAACCATTGTAAGATGAACTTAGGATTTTTTTCGTCCTTCAAAAAAAAAAAAAACTAAGGAACTCTCTGTCGTACAAGTTCCTTCGGTGAGACAGTTATTAAAGCCCATTGTTGACAGATGTCAGGTCCATTTAAATGCACGAGATATCTAGCTTTTAGTTGTTGGTTTTAGTAAATTAAATGTCTGGTACAGTTGTTTATTTAGCTGCTACAAAGGAAGTAAAAACGTGCCCATTAAACGCAAATGTAAGAAATTAAAACCGAACTTGCCGTGTGACAAAGAAATACGACTACCGCCCAGGTAGATTTGTCTTAATTAATTTTATTTCATTTTCTTAGTTAATTTTCTTTCCAAATTAATTTCCTCTCTTTTTCTTCTCTATTTTCTTGATTCCTAGAGAGATTTTTATTATGGAGAGTTCAGGATTACTTTAGTTTTGCTTTAGAGCACTTTTCGGTTGAGCGTTGTAAAACCAAAACCACAGTAATCCCAACAACTATTAGTAAGGAACAAAAATACCCTCAAGAACCAACGAGAACTTCAAAAGAAAAACTAAGCAAACCGCCCAAAGTGCGGGAAAACGCGGATGACCAAATCGTGATTGGTTTTAGTTTTACATCTGATTGGTTGGGAGGTTAGCGCAGGTTTTCTGAACCAATCACAGAGCAAAGAGAAGCCGAATCGACGCAGATTAGACACTCAAATGAAAATTGTACTATTTCACTCTTAGATGTGCCAACGTCCTCTAAACCAACCAAATTCAAAGCTGAAAGCAACTGTGACTTGGTCACACGCGTTTTTCCGAGCATCAGGTAGAATGTCAGTTTTACTCGACTGGCGTTTTTCCTTTATTTTGATCCTTTGGTTTGTTGTGTTTGCTTTGGGTTTGGTTTCACGAAACTTGGTCGGAATTCGTCTTTTCCATCCAAATTACTTTTTGGTTTGTTCTTACTTTTGAGGAGTTTTTGTTCCTTGCAAATTAGAACCTAAGTAATCATAACGGCCGATCAGAAGAAAGGAAATTACATTAAGGAGCCAATCAGGGCTCAAAGTAAAAGCAGGCAAACTACCTAAAGCGCGGGAAAACGCGGGCGACCAAGTGGTAATTGGTTTAGGCCATGTATCTGATTGGTTGAGAGGGTGGTGCGAGTTTCTTGGACCAATCACAGAGCAAAGTGAAGCAAGACCAATGCACTCCCGGATTACTTTTGAACTTACTTGAAAATTTCTCAATTTTAGTGTGAAGGTTTTATGTTGATTTTGGCCAATTAATTACATTTCCAAAATGATCCAAAATTTCGAGACGCCCTTCGTTCTGATTTCACCGCATTTTTTTGATTTGTGAAGGAATCGAACGACGGGTAATTTCCGTTTATTTATTATTATTTTTTTTCATATAAGAATAACCTTATCTTGGTCAATAAAAGATCCAGAAAGTTTTGGTCCAAAGACACAGGCCCAAAACTGAGACAACAAATAACTTAATAAGGCACAAATTAATTACGCACAAATTAGTAGCGCACAATGGCGCAAGGCGCTACCAAAAGTCTTTATCACTCTTATCCTAACTTCATCCGGTAAGCTTTATCTTTGATCCGTAAATATTGAAAACCTTGTAAGGGAAAAAAGTTTTTCGAACTGGGGCTAAGAACACGCACACAAAAGGCCTTCGTCATTTCAGTTTAAGATAAATTCGTATTATCATCAAATGCACAGATAAAACTATATGATAAATGAGTTTCTCTTACCCTGAAGTTAGCAGTTAATTCTATGTAGATTGAACATCTTATGATTTCTTTGTGGCACCGAAGACAAGGGTTCATCTTTTCGAAATTTCTTATTTTACCTAATAATATTTGTTTTTTAAGTCTGCCAAACAGCTGAAAAAAGAAATGATCTGAACGTTTTAGCGCTAAAAAGTAAACAGAAATCTTCTCAATTAACGGTTAGTGAAAGTAATGATTTTTATAAAAACGTTTCAAGAATTTCTCTGGCTTATTTTTTTTGTCTGAGTTCAAATTAAACGTAGAAGACGCAGTACCCAGGATTTTAACCTAAACAAAACACCGCGTACCAGCTTGCCATGATAGAACAAAATTCCTCTTAACTCGTGATCAAATTGCTTATGTGGATTTGTCATGAAATTAAAACAGTTGGTGACAATATTTGGCAATTAAACCGAGGCTGAGCTTAATTACTTTCATTCATTCCTCCTTTATCACAGCAAACTTGAAGATAAAAACTCCTCGCTAAGTAATAACATTACAAAAGACGGATGGCGCTTTTGTATTAGTCACGTGCACTGTCGGAGGCTGTTATCAATAAACCTAAAAGATTTGTTCGCGAACAGGGACATTGCTATTGGTTTAAAAGATTAAACAAGAAAGGAACTTAGCTTTTTAATTAATTATTATTTAAAAGTGGAGTGGTTTACACTTAAAGCTAAAATAATATTTTATCGCAAACTGCGCAACAACTTGGCTAAAATGAATGACACGCTAGAATTTGCAACCTTCATCCCGAACAATCAAAATTTCTCATCTGCTGTAGTCGAATATCTAGACTTGTCTACGTTCTGGTTTAGTTCTTTTATTGTGTTTTACTGTCTCTTTAGTTTTGGGACTATCCTTGATATATTCGTGATTTACGTTATGCTACGAAGTGGACAATTGCGGAAAAACGTTTCCAGTTTTTTAATCTTTCATTTGTCTTTGACTCATTTTTTGTTTCATCTTGTGTTCGCTATGAATTTCACTCGAAGTTTTTCAAGAAGGGATCCGGTAATGTGCAAAGTTTCCATCTTCATTGAACACGCGTGCCCGGCAGCTATTTTCAGCACCTTAGTCGCCATTGCTTGGGAAAGACAAAAAAACATCCTACAGCCTTTTAAAAGTCTGATTTCCACGCCTCTGAAGTCGTACGTACTGATGGTTACAGCTATTTGGGTATACGCTGTGTCATCTTCAATTTCGTTTGCTCCAAGTGTAACTGTCCGCCCCATCGAATTCTGTCAGAAAGTCAACAGAACTCAGAAGTGCGAGGAATATATTTTATGCGACAGACCGAGCGGCACTTGGCAAGTTTTGCTATCGCAAACAGTGTACACTATTGTGGCGTTTTTTATTCCTCTCATCTACATGATAGTTGCATATACAAGAGTTGCAGTTCGCTTGTGGAAAAGAAGCAAAAATGGAGCCATTCATAGCGCTGTGGCAAAACACAAATCAAAATCGATACGTTTGTTGGTTTTCGCTGTTCTTGGATTTGTCCTTTGCTGGGGACCAAGTATTTTATTCAACTTTTTGGATGAATATCGTGTTCTAGAGGGATTGGAGCTAGAACGAAAACTGCTCTTGCAGCTTTGGCTGACATTTATAGCTCCTGCATCAAGCTCCTGGGTAAATACCGCAGTGTATGCATTGTTTTGCCCAGAGTTTAGGAAAAACAGCGTCAAATTTGCCTGTTGTTGTTGCTGCTGCTGCTGCTTTCGTTCGCGTCGCATTGTTTCAAGTAATCATCGCGTGAGTCCTGATGAAATACGCATGACGAGAACGAGGCAAACATCGATCGGACAACGACAAAATGCTCTCCAATGATAAGCTATTCCACTCCTGCATGGGACAGCCTTTCAAGAAACAAAAATGTTTTCATCTCGACTTGAGGCATCATCATCATCCATTTATTTGCCATTTTTTTAACATAAACGATAAAAAGATTTACAGCATCGTAATTATAAGGAGAGGAAGCCTCAAAAAAACTGCCAGGCTTTGGGAGAGATCTCTCACTTTCAGCGATATATTTAAAAGCGTTCGGCTAACGATTGCGAATAAGAGGGTTAAACCCTTAAACTCCTAATATCTCATTAGTAATTATCCTTACTGTCTGCCAAACGATTCTCATTATGTTAATTTGGAGAATTTGGTGTCGGATCAATCATCACACATAAACTGTATGGCAGACAGTAAGGAGAATTACTCATGAAATCTTGGGAGTTAAAGAGTTAAGACCCTCGACTAAAACTTTATTTGGGCAAACCCCTTGAAAATTATCGTATCTGTATTTCAGGTCGTTTCATTACTTCTTGTCCAAAAATAGAATTTATTAAATGAAAGGTCGGGTGACGCGTAGTTAAGCCATTTGACTTAGAGAATTGATCAAGACGTAACCTTCTTGCGATTTCAATACATTACCTGGTAAGCAAGTCAGGAGAATAAAATAGTAGATCAGAAAGATGGGTTCATATTGACATGATACCAATTTTTGCTATATCATTAAACAAAGAATGAAAAATAATTCATCCGTCGGAGAGCCAACGCGCTGTGTGAAATAATTGAGAAGTTGCGCTACATCTCGGACTCTGGGCAAGCCTTCCATTCTTTGGTGAAGATTGCATTATGCTAAAAAAAAGGCTGTGTTTTCACATCAATGACATGATCGATGTACAGTGATAATTAGGTCAAATTCGTTTATTACATCCATGGGAGGCTAGCCACGACATGAAAAACGATTAACTAACTTACTAAGACTAATTTTTCTAAGTTTCAGTCCAAAATAATTATTGATGCCTTTTTTCGTTATTTCAAGACATCACTAAGTAGAAAAAACAAAGTAAGGAATGATTAAATAAAAGTAAAATATAAAAAAGTCAAAATTGTGGTGGAATAAGATTTCTTTCAGTCAAAAGTGATCAGTACACTCAACACCATTTCCTGAGTCTCCAGCTTCGCTTTTTCGAGTGGGCATCGGTTAAATAATACGGCAACCGTGATTTCTAAGAAAATAGGGATTTTAAGAAACTACGACGGCGACGCCGTGGACAACTCAAAAAAAAAAAACTAAAACAAAACAACTAAACAAATTCTCCTTGCCAGCACATTAGGAAAAGTATAGAGAACATACATACTGATGTTAGGGTGTACGGGGTTAAAAACAAACTTAAGTTTTGCTTACGAATCTCGCGATACTCTGAAGTCATTTAGTTTGTTTCTCACTGTCAAAATTATCTCGAAACTGAACATGGAACACAGCGTTTAATTAGAAATAGAAGTTTAAAAAATTAGCTGTCGTCGTTCACGTTCTCCGAAAAAAGCCGCAAAGCTTGGTCATTTCACGTTGTTGTTGGCAGTGGACGCAAAGTAATTTACAAAGATTTATAACGCACGTGCACAGCCATTGTTCTGCTCAGTAAACCTTTCGTTTGGTGACGCTATCGTTGCCTTCGTAGTTTTCTTAAATTCCCTAGTGCTACTAATACCGCAGTTTTCAGTCGAGTGTCGAAAGCAACCCGGGATTGTTTTGGTTTTACTTGATAACAATGTTCTGTGATTGGTCCAGAAAACCTCCACCACTCGCTCAACCAATCAGATGCAAAACTGAAACCAATCATTACTTGATCGCCCGCGTTTTCCCGCCCTATAGATAGTTTGGTTTTTTTAACTTTGAGTTCTCATTGGCTCTTAAATATATTCTCTGTATCCACAACCTTTTCTACGAAATTTTGGTTTTGTTTCACGACACTCAATCAAAAAGCACTGTATTATCATCAACGTGAAACTGAACAAGTTAGAAATCATTTCTAATCAAGTGAAAGAGAAGGTAAACAAATTTCAAGAAAATCCTTTGTTTTCCCTCTGCTTCACCAATGCAACTTCATTGCTTTTCAACCCTTCCGTAGAAAGTATTCTCTTATACAAAGGGAACCTCCTTCTACTCCATTTAGGAGGACCCCAAAAAAACCAATACCACTAATTTTGCAAAACAATTTAACTACTGGTCTAGTTTCCAGTCTCTGGCCAGCGCCACAGTTACAAAGGCTTGGGAAGAAAGCAATTTCTCTAAGTACATGATTGGTTAGATAATAAAATAATCAAACTAACAAAAACTAAAAATGGGGTTTGGTTTCTACGCGACCTGAAAAAGAAAGCGCCTCCCGTTCCTTAGTGATCGACCTATAGGATAACGGCTCTGAGAAGAGCTAGTATAATAAGTTAGTTTAAAACTAAAACATCTTGTTCTTGAGATGTAAAAAATGCACCAAAACTAGAGCAATAAAAACTAAAGCCGGTTGTGCATGCGAAGTGCATACGACGAGTCCCTTGAGATCAATCATCGTCTGTCTTCGTTTTCTTAGCGGAAGGTTCCCCTTCATCAAATCTCGTGTGAGTCGCTGTCGATTTTTCGTCGTTTCCATCGTTTCGTTTTCCTTCCAGCCTGTCGGAAGTTCGTCTTTTTCTTTGAGGCCGACCACCTCGACCGCCTTGTCCTCCTTTAAATTTCCTTCCTAAACAAAAAAAAAAGAGAAATTACAGTCCCCAGTAACAAATACAAAAGTATCTACTTTGAGAAACCCTTAAACCCTTTACACCTCAAGATCAGTATGTATATTCTCGATAGTGTCCTCAATACATTCCCTATGGTGTTGACAAGGAGAACTTGTTTAATCAAGAGCTACTCGAATGTGTGGTCATTGTCTGTATTCTCATAACCGCGATGTTTGTTCAATACTGATAATGTAGAGAGAAATGAAAGGAATTACTTATCAACCCTTTATTCCTTACTCCTTAAGAATAAAGGGTTGACCACTTACACCTCAACATAAGTGGGTTTATTCTCGTTACTGCTCTCTACAAATTCTCTATGATGGTAACAAGGTGAATTTGTTTAACAATCAAGTGTTCCTAGAGTTGAAGACCATTGCCTTTATGTTTGATTCAGGGGTGATATTGTAAGAAGGAAACAAATGCCAGTCACTCCTGAGGAATTACAGGGTTAATTTCTCTGTAGAAGAAATGACAAGCCAAAGGAAAGAATCCGCGTCTTTTTAAAGGACACAGAGAATAAAAAGGTATTGTCTCTGAGGCACAGAATAGTTGTATCTTTATTTTCGAGAACATTAACAACAAGACGCGCGCATGTCAAAAGTTACCTTTCTTTTGCTTGGCTTTTTCTCTGTCTTCTTTTGTTTTTAACCAATAATTCTTTTCTTCCTCACCTTCAAAAGAAAATAAATACAAAGATGTACTTGAGTAAGGAATTCATCTGCAAATTTAGGGTAGGAGAAGGATAAAGAGGGTTTAACGGGCAATTAAGTGTTAACAACTGGGTTGGTACGTAAATACGTAAATTACGTATTTAGCCACCGTAAAAAGTTTTAAAAACTAACGTTTCGAGCGTTAGCTCTACTGGAAAAGCTCCAAATATTTGTGAAAGGTCGAGAGTTTGAGCCCCAGCTTTCGATCAAATAAATAGAATCACACCTTCTAGGACCCGAAGAGTTGTTTCCACATCCCTGATGAGTATTTTACCGTCGTTTGCTTCCTTTAGAGCGTCAATGGCTCGCTGGGCTCCTCCCTCTTTAGAGAAACGAATGAAGCCCTGCAACAGAGAACTGCACTGTCAACATAATTCGGTTAAAAATACTCCAAGCTTTGCGCGAATTTTCTCTTGACAGACTCAAAATCATAAGCGAAATTTTAGCCTGGGCAGACTTATCGGCCATCTGTGGTTAGCTCAAATTTGACAACTTCTTCGATTGAGCAAATTAAACGTAGATTCAGGTTAGAAGGTTTATTACTCATGGTTATTTTCAGGAATCACTCTGAGACAATTTTGGGGCCATTTGATCATTTGTGACAGTAGGCGATGATCCTACTACGCACGAGCACAATATTCCATTATTGTTGGGCAGTACATCGCAGATCACGCAGATCGTACTGACGGCCAATAAAAAGTAATTGAAAAGTATGGGGTGATGTTTTGTATACAACGTGTGAATCTTTGTGTTCTTCTCTTATCACACTGTACTTGACCAGGCTCTCCACAACAACGAGTCTTGGAGGCAAGAAACCTTTGTACAGAAGGATGCTCTAATTGCACAAACCTCTGTTTCTCCTCTGGTGAAGTCCACCCAAGCGATATCTTCATGCTCACCGAACAGACTCTGTAATGCAACAAGAACCGCGGTGAGCTTATGATTTTAACACATTTCTATAGACCTTATTCAACAATGGCAGAATTTTTCATCTCCTCTATTTCCTCTGTTTTCACGGCTTGCATGTTAATCAGCCTTCATAGCCTCGATCAATGCCACGTTTCCATTTTTGAGGGTTAGCTTGAAACGAGGAAACGAGGACACATCAACTTGAAGAAAGAAGAAGAAATTACATTATTTTTTCCCGCCAAGTTTAAGAACAACATGCATCTGAGGGAATCTGTGCATTTTTCGGTTTCCACAATGCAAAACACCGATTTTATAGGGTTCGTACCCTCCACAGTTTTTTATTTCTCGACATTAGGTATTCAGCTATAATCAAAAGAAAAGAAAAAAAGATTTTCAGGAATTCACTTGCCTCGTTCGGCCCTAAACCTCATCATGTCACCTCAGTTTGAATCATTATCCTTGGAATTGTTAAGAGAAGCGGGAAGGGGTAGGACAGAGCACATATAAAAGTTACTAGGAAATAGTTCCTCACCACCAAATTCACATAGAGACGGAGGGGAGGGTGGGGGGTACATGTGCCTTTAACGATGGTTTTCAATAAATCTCTACGTGATTTCTGACCTCAACTGTAAAATAATAATAATCATAATAACAATAATGATAACAACAATAATCACGAATAAATTAATTTCAAAACCCCTCTACCTTCAGGTCTTCACGAGATGTCTGTTCGCCTACATTTTTGAAATGCAGCACACAGCCACTGTCATACTTCAAGGCCTCCTAAAAATATGACAAATTTTAATTATAATTATTTATAATTAATTTATAATTATTAAGTTTGTTTTTGACATTGTACATCTAAGGAAAGATAAAATCGATTGGTAACAAAGTGGGACAGAAAAAGGGTTAAACTGCGTCCGAGTCCCCAAGAAGATTACAGGCGCAGACTTTCGGCTTGTGCTGTTGACTGTTCTACAACTGCGCTACAAGGACCTTTCTCACTGGTAATACGGTACCATATTCTAGTTTAAAATGATCTCTGAGCTATCGGATCGCAAAAATCGAAGGCGTGGGAACTAAGCTTTAATTGTTGTCCTACGCTAGTGACAATTGAATAGAATCGTCACAGATTTTCATTCCAGGAGCGATCTCAAAATTTACCATCTTTCTTGATCTACTGTATTAGATTTCCGTTGGTATACAGTCTACGGAAATTCATTTTTAAAAAAAGAAAGTTACAATTGCTAAAATTAAAAAGTAATTAAAGGCTTTAAATACGACATCTACGAGAAAATGGCGAGAAACCTCGCGAGCGATCTTCAGTCGAAGAGAAACGAGCCACTATTTTTAAAAGTGCTTTTGCTGATCATATAAAAAATTATGCACAGTAAAGATGCGCAAAGAAATTTGACGGGCCATAAACTCCCCGATCTAGTCATCAATACTCCCTTATAGCTACTTTACGTGTTTAGTCAACCAGTTTAGAGAATTTGGTGTTCCATCTACACAAAATCCTCGTGCTGATAGACGGGTACTTTCTCATTACCTGTTTGTAAGATAATGTATAGCTCTTGTAAGGAGAAGCCAGACTTTGATAACGGATAAAATTTAAAGATTTAATGAGAATTCTAGCCTATACCTCTTTTTCCTCTGCATCTTCTTTGCTTTCTTCTTTCGTTTCTTTTGCATCGTCATTTTTTCTTGGAAAAAAAAAAAAGGCCAAAGAAAGGAACTGGATAATTTCGTAAAATCGAGAATCGATGAATCGATGAAGATCAGTACAGTTGATAGCCTGACTCTGCAAACGATGAAAAGTTACTTTATCCCAGAACAAATACCACGATGAACAACTCATAATTTTCTATGACAAAAACATATTATACATGAACACACTTACTCGGCCTTTCTCTTGTTCTCCTCTTTCTTGTGAGGATTTTCTCTTTCTTTCTTCTTATAGTAATCACCCCTATTGCAGAAATACTTCACGTTTAGATAACGATAAGGCGCACCTTAAGCGTACATTATTTATAACTGGAGCCGATTGTCAAGTGCTTTGTAAATCACTTTTAATCTGGGTTCAAGGATGACATCTGAATCCATCGCAGGTCGAAACTTGAACCTTAAAAGCTCCGAGAGTTGAGGATCGATTTTCGAGTCGAGACTGCCGATTGCAAGGCTATCCTTCTGTGTAAAAGCCACTCTGGGATAATGATTTGAGATGTCATCATAATTTCAGTCTCAGAAAAAAAAAATAATAAAAGGCCATGTGCAAATAACGAGACAGCCAAACGAAACTTGACAAAACTCTAAAAAACATTTTTCTTTGCTATGCCTGCTTTGCTGGTGTTAAAATGCATTCAAACAAACAAGCTAAAAAACAAAACAAAAACACAAAATCAAAATCAAAAACAAAAAAATTATGTTAAAGGTATAACAAGGTCGTTTTCATTAACCCACTGCAAAAGAAATCACAGAAAAAATGTTCCTCGCACTCATCCAATTTTATTGCCATCATGATAAATGATTCAAAAACTCCATTCAAACACAGTTTTCTTGGATTTTCTTCATTGTGAAATCCTGCATTGCTCTAGCTACTTACTTCATCATTTTGATCAGTTCCTCGTCATTGAACTTCACTGACTCCAGAGACGTGAAGGCTTTTGCTTCATCAACAGTCGCAAATTCTACAAACACAGATCCTTTGAACGCACGTTCCAAATCTTTTCGCATTATGATGTAAATAACCTAACGAAGACATTGAAAAAAAAATTGAAACACACGAACAGTTGTACAATCATGTAACTAAAGAACTAGCTATCAATCCCCTGGCTTTTCAAAAAGTAACAATTTTGTTTCCACTTACCGTTGCGTCAAACGCAATAATCACTTGATTTAACGCCGGGGCGTTTAACCAAGGACGGCGATTATTTCATAACAACTCATTGGCAAAAATTACGGTAAATAATTTTTTACACAGAAACTTATTATAGGTTTCAGTGTTGCGCTTTTTTTTAAACAAACTTCCAAGGATACTGTTGATTATCAAATTGTTCCCTACTTCATATGATATTTAACAAATACATTCCATATTACTGTGCATCTGTTCACCCATAGATCATAGATGATATCAAAATGTTGGAAGGTTAAAAAAATAGAGCAACTGGTGGCATTACAACCTCAATCAATCAACGCAAAAAGCTGTTGAAAACGGTGCCTTAAAAAAATTTAATAGTGTCCTGGCGTGGCACTTAAAAAGCTGTATGTTTTCCCTGAAAAATTCTTGACACAAATGCATAAAAATTAGTACAAGTCCCAGCTTCTTACCTTTCCATAACTAGCAAAGAATTCCTCCAGTTGATCAAGACTGGAATCTTTGGGGAACCCTTTCTGTGTGGAGATCACAGTGGTGTCAGTATTAAAGTGAGCTGTACATGCATATGGGAAAAAAAAACTTTCCTGGATTTGATATTTCCTTAATGACAACTTGTTCAATGCAAGCTTGCTAAAAAGCTTCGTAAAAACTTCCAAAATCAGCCAATAACCCAGAAAATTTATATGACAGCAGCATACCATTTTTTTCAATTCCAGTTACTAAAGTTTGTGAGCATACAATAAAAAAAATAAAAAGAACTACAATAAGAGCTTGACATTTGACCAACAACTTTGCTACATGTAAACATCATGGGTCCATGAAAAAAATCATGAGTTAATTACTGAGTTCCAGACATTTGATTTGCCGCAATGTTGGAATTGTTTGTTGCACTTGTGCCTCATCATTAGTTTACAGTGTATGTGCTGCTCCAGTTTGAGTAGATGCAATGTATTTCTATTGATATGAATTAACAATTAGACATACACAATAGACTGTTTTGCTCTTTGCAGTTTGTCTTGCTTCAACAGTGTTCTCTGGGAGAGGTTTGGACGAGACTCGTCTTATTTTCTTGTTATCCTCAGTGATCTATAACAATGAAAACAGAGGAAAAAACTTCAGTTCTATCTTCATTAGTTTATCAGGTACTTCAAGAAAATAAGGGCTCAAGGACTGGGCCATTTTCATTACATTAGCCCTTCCACTCCCAAGATCTGATTGTTAATTCTCCCCTCTAGCTGCTACATGTTTCCTTGTAAATTAGTAACAAGAATTTGGTGTTAGATCAAGATGACAACTTCTACCTGATAAGTTTGAGTATTCTCATTACCTGTTTGCTGGATAATGTATGGATATTATTGGGAGAAGTTGCATATTGATCACTGGTGGGAGTTAAAGGGTTAAAAATTCTAACATGGCCCTGAGGCAAGGGGGAATAAAACAAAAGAAATTAATTTATCATTCCTTAACCTCAAAGTGATCTCTTTCGTTTCATTCCCCCAAGCCTCAGAGCCCAGTTTGAATTTCAATATATTGAAAAAAATTTCTAGAGATGCTATGGCAGGTTCATCCTTCAAACTGCTGGGATTAGGAAAGTCAAAAGTGTCCCATGTGCAGTAAGAAAGATGGTAACTTTTGAATACAGGGAGGTAGTTCCTAAAGAAACTGTGGTGCTGCATTGGTGGAGGTGTTAAATGATAATTTGATTTTGTTAACTGAGTTGTTAATGTAAATAGGCCACCTTAGAAAGTTCTGCCATTGATTTCAAGCATTAGCCGTTCATCATAGCAAAACTGGTAATTGGTAAGATTTGAGCTTGTTTTTTAAAGAAAAAAGGGATGTTGACTATTTGCCATGAGTGGCTGACCAAGAAATAAGAAGATTGACACATCAAGTGTTTGTACCTCGACAAGTCCTGCATCTGATTTTCTCAAAGCGTTTGCAATCACATCTGTATCTGCTGATAATGCCTGAAGATAAAGTCAAAGACTGTTTATGGAGCAACTTGTATAAAAATAAATAAATTGAGCACATCTTAAATTTTTCATAACAAATTTTTACCTTGAGTCTGTTAAACGTTGCAAGACACTCCAATGTTATCCCTAGGCTTTTGTCAAGAAATCAATCAATAAATGTAATTTTATTGTGAAGTCTTAAGGGTATTAGATATCACCTTTTTTAATACTTTGACCAGGGTGATTATAAAGAAAGAAAAAACTTCCCTGACCTTTTAACTTTCTTGAAACATTTTCCCTAATAACTGCTGTATACCTTGTTTTGAGTTTGGCATTAGATCCCAGGGACACAACCTCACCTAAATGCTCATCCCCACTTATGATCTGTTTGCTATATATTGTAAAGATTTTGCAAGGATGGGTCAAATGTTCCAAATTGCATTTGAGAGTTTAACAGTTCGTTCTGCAAGTGGTAATCATATACATATTGTGCTACTGCCAAATAATAACCTTTATTTTAAAAAAATTAAACTGTATAAGCATTCTTTACAGTCCCATTATGCATCCTGATCATGAGGGTTTTGGAGTGAAGTACTAAAAATGGAATATTTCTTCAGAAGAAATGCCTTCATATGAAACACTTGAGAAGTGAGAGGGACACTCAACAAACCCTTGCTACTCTTCACTATGTGAAAAAGAATACTCTTTGCTATGTCTTGACATGCTTTAAACTTCCCGGGAGCTTCACAACTCGATGAATTGTTACTAAATTGTAAATTGCTATTTGGTAGTGGGATTTTAACCCTGTAAATGTTTGTACCAACACTGATTAATAATCGTGGACATTAAAGAGTAATCAGTGGTCTAAGATTTTAACATAGAGCATTCTTAAGCTACAAGGTCAATCCGATTTAAGCATTTGACAGCTCTCAAATTACAGGATACATCCATCATCTTCTTCAGCTTTTTGTCTCAGAAACCTATCCTTGGGAAGATTTTTATCTCCAAAGTAAAACTGAAAAGAGAAAATTTGAAATTAAAGATCAGTTCTCACAAAAAAGGGTTAAAAAGGGAGATTTTAAGGAAATGCAGTACGATATGAACCACTGTGACAAAGCTTGCTTCCTTGTATATTAAATTGCACCACATAACGTAACGACTGTCTCGGGACCTCGAGATCATAATGACAAAACCGAGCGTAAGTGCAATACAAAAAAAATATCAAAGTCTTCAGTAGGGGCACAAAACTCAGTTTTTTATTTTAACCATTTCAGTACTGTACATTCTCCAAACTGAGCAGAGAGTACAGTTCGCTTATTGACCAGCTTGACCATACGGATTTAAGTTACCTATAAGTCGAACGTTCTGCTGAATGATTAACGATGCCTAAAGTACATTGGTAAAAAAGTATTTACTTAGCATAAAGATTCGTAGGAAAGTTCCAGTTTGACATTATATCAAGAACTAGACTCATGTATTAATCATAAGCTCTGACTGTAGATAAAAATAGCAGCGTTACCTCCACTTGCTTGATGATCTTCTTTTCGAGGTCCGTAGGTGCTTCCTTGTTGCCATTTACGGCGTCGTTTTCTGCCATTTTTAGGGTATTTTTTGATACTTTACCGTTAAGAATTTGTCTTGAATAAACCTCAACTCAAATTAACCTGCTCAGGTTTTGTAACAAGGTAAAATTGAAGCTGCGAAACAGAAATAGTGATAAAAATTTGCAACACGTGCAGGATAGCTTTTCGATTTCACCACATTTTATCATACACGTTTGTGTGATCAACCGCTGACAAGTTTCCTTGTGATGCGTGACAAACTTTTGTTACATTTGCGTAACACAACTGCGTTACTCACATTTTCATGAAGTTTTTATGGAGATTTCCTCAAATAAGTGTGGCTAAGTATTTTCCTAAAAAAACATTCAAATATTTGACTCCCAATCCGAAATCGAATCCGAAATCGAGTGTGAAATTGAATGAAGATGAAACAACTTTGTAATAACGTAACGTTATTATAACATAAGCAGAGACGAAAATCCTCAAAGAGTAAACGAAATGGACAGTCCGAATTTTGAAGATTTTCACGCTCAGTTAGATTAGGCGAACACAGCTAACACTCGTATTCTGATATTAGGTTTCTTGTTCAAAAACAAAATAGAACAAATCAGGAATTTAAAAATACAGCCAAACTGGCATAACTGTTAAAGTTCATATTAATCATGACGGTGTCAGAGCGACTGCGATCATGCTGAGGTCTATCGCGGCGAGCTCATCATGGCGATCTCCGGTTATCGCAGTAAAGTAAGCCTCAGAAATTACATCGGCCGCCGATGTAATTTTGTGGCGTGGGGAAGTGGATGTAGCCTGCTAATGAACTGGGGTAGGAACTTACCTACAGTCGGAATAAAACCCAATGAATGGGATACAACGGTATTAGATATAACAAGACTTGGCGTCAGGGATGAAAAATTCTAGAAAGGTATATATTGAGAAAAGCTGTTATAGTTTGTTTTAATTTAATCGCCTGAATCTCCGCTGAATATCGTCCTAGTTGTCGCGGAAATCTCTAGCGAATAAAAAATTTCAACTTCATTCCCAGGGTCTTATCTCTTCCTCCTTCGAAGAGAGAGGACCCGGGGAACCTCGTTGAAAAAATGCATTAAAGTCGCAAAGCTCTGCTCTTTAATATCTGTTTGGTCATAAAGAATAATTGATAGCTTTTTAAGAATAGGAAGTCGTTAATGTCTGCAAATTATATTAGTCTAATGATTTTCTCCTTTGGATTTGGTTGATATGTGTTTGCCCAAAAAATATATTTCCATGATGACAATAGAGGTAAATTATTAGTGCATATATAAAGCATTAATTACGCTTTTTCGGTTTTTTTAAAAATTTAAATCAAACTGCGATATCGTGCCCAATTGTGTAAACAAGTGTACTAAACAACCCCTAAATCAAAAGAATACCACTTTTATAATAGTAAAGAATTTCTTAACAGATGGTTGCACTAAACAGTTACAAAAATGAAAAATTTGTGGGCCTCAAATTCATGCAAACAAATTGAAAATAAACGTTATCGTTCAACATGAATATATAGCGTTTAACTGAACCCTAACTGGCTGGAGGGCTTCAACCTGGGGCCTGGGGGAAAGGTCTGCTCCCTTGTCACCTGGCCATGGTCCCACCGCCTTCACTCAAATAAAAAGTCAAGTGAATCTTTTAACTTATTGAAAACAGCTTAAAATTTTGTGAAATTATAGGTTGAGGTCACACTTACGTTATTTATTAGGAAGATCCGGCAGAGGGTTCAGCCTTTACGAAATACTATTACCGTTTCAGACGAAGGGCGAACGCTCGAAACTTCAGCTTCAAAAATTCTTGATGATGGCTAATTTAAATTATCAACTCAGGTGTTAAAACAAAATTAGGTATAATTGTTGCTCTTTAAAGAAGTAACCATGGTCATGTTTGCTTGAACAGAAACAAAAACAAAATACCTTTCTTTAGAAAGAGATTCCATGGTTATGTCCATACTAACAAATCTTATATTTTTATAACATGAACTTTGATCTTGTCGACCGTGATTACACGTGAAACCCCAGTGATTGTTAAAAACCAGTGGGCTTTTCCGTGTTCTGATCACTCTCCAAATGCTCCCAAAATAGGTTACGTGCGAAATTTTTCTTGTGTATATTAGTTTGATTAGCATGAGAATAAAAAAAATATCGTTTTCATATCAAAGACGTAATATGCACTTACCCTCGTTTTCAAACAGAGGTCAGTCTCGGCACTACTCCAAAGGGAAGCGTATTACAACCCGCCGTACGTTAGCAAAGATCGATCACGTTTTAACTGCCTTGTGGAATCCTAAAATTCTTAGCTGAGAAACTCTTCTATTTCCTTCAACAGTAAGGTTGGTTGGTTAACCTTCTGTTTTTTAATATTATTATTATTTTATCTGATGGGGGCTCTAATTTGATTGACTCCTAATCGGACATACGCGGCAATATATAAATATAACAGGTGATTATTGTCAAAGATGAGTCTTTTCACTTAGCTTAGAAAATGCAAATTGCATGTTAAAGCGAACGATTATATACAATTCAAAATAGCTGTTCACGTTGTAAATCATTGTACAATGTCGTTGTGCCACGTAAAGAGAGGGAGTTTGAAATCTGTACCTTTGTCAATTGTTTTGGAAGCTTTCTCAGGACGGTTTATTCGTTTTTAGTTTCGCTGTTGTTTTTTTGTAATAAGGGTTTAAAAAAATTTTGTAACAGTTCCTCACTTTCTAACAATTACATTGGTGAAACATTGCCGCAAAATTTCTATCTAATTTCGAGAAAAAAATTATGCTGCTTATTATGTAGCTGAAAGCTGCTTGAGGCAGTTTCAGGCTCATTGGTCACGGGAAAATTCCGCAATGTTTTGAAACGATTCAAGCTTCGTTCGTCAGCGACGGTATCACATGTAATTTTAAAAAATAGCTGAAACTTAAACATAGAACTTTGTTACATAATACTCCTGGAGCAACACAATTGATTCTTTATGTTGGTCGTGGTGGTGTTTCAGGAATTTCCATAAATTACGAACATCAAGCTTGCCAAATACATAACTTGAATATATTTTTTTTCAACTTTAAGTTATCTGCTCTCAAAGGAATGGAAAGAGGAACCAACAATATTTAACTAGGTATTTTTTGGACTCAGCTGAGACTGATGTGGTAAAAATTTTGGTCTTTTTTTATCATTTCTCTCACTTGAATATTCTTTGGAATTGCGTGAGTTATGCGTCAGTAGGAATAGTAAAGAGTATATGTGGCTTGATAATCCAGGCATGATAATCCTAATTGGGCTATTAAATTCATTTATTACAACAGATCAGTGTGTTTACGTCATTCATCGAACTACTGAACTTGACAGCTAGGCTCAGCGCAAAAAATCGAAGCAAACGTTTAGGAAAACGTTCTGCATATTGGGGCACTTGACTTTTTCAAGAGTTTCAAACTTTGAAACTCCTGAAGGGGAATGAAATGTTGTATTCGAGATGAACTTGTGAAGTTTGTAATGGTGGACATGATGTAATAGTGTAGATAATTGTCAGAAAGATTATTTTTAGGTATTATCACAAAGAACCACCAAACACCGTTGTTAAGGTTTAAGGTTTGGTATTTCAATTCATCCGTGATACCGAGGGTCCTGATCATGCTTAAACCAAGTTTATGAAAATACTTGTAAAACGAAGAAGGAAATTGAATGATTTAGCGTATATAGTGTGACTTCCTGTAAAGTTCAGCAAATCTATATTATAGTACTTTACATAGCTTTATTTTCAATTCATGTCACCTTTGTTAGCGCCGCCAGGATAGGATCATGATTGAAATCTGACATTCAAGCGCATAACTTAAACTTTTCTATAAAAGCTTCTGCTTTTCTCCTCACTGGACTGTGTCCTCTTTATTCTTTAGGCTTTGATTTTGCGTTGGTCGTTCCTACTCAAAAACCTGAGTTAATATACGAATTGTCAAAGGAATATGTTCCAATCTCAAGAAAAATATAGTTTTGAGTGGTTTCTTGTGCATATTGCAAAATACTAAATATTATTTATATTACGTGACGACGTTGAAGGGGTTGAGTTTGTAACCATGGACATTTCCTAATTACTTCTCAGTTGATTGACGATGACGTAGTTTTATGCAAGAGGTACTTGCAAAAATTTGATCACTTTTGTGTCATGAGATCCATCACACGAAAGGAAAAACCTCATTGTTAAAGTTATATCACAAGTAATAGAAGTTAATCATCCAATTGAAAGGAGCAGTTGGAAGAAGGATTATTATATGAGCCGATGACAAAAACAACCGAAGCATAAGCCGGAACGCCACTCATACATACATGGCCAAGTTCATCTTCCCTCGGGGAACGGAAAAAAGATGTTGGCTCGGAAAGTTTTGCCGGCTTTACGGTAGGCCCTTAAAATACCCGAGGGTTTTCATTCGCGAGGTCGAAAGACGATTTTAACAAGGTAAGGTTTCCTGTTCGAGCGCCACGATTACGTGCAAAGTATCTACCTTCCGTGATAAGTTGGACACGTTTTAGAGGTATAAATTTAGAGCTTTTGACTTAGAAAATTCAATTTAGTGCTTTTGAATGAACACTTTGCAGTGGCTTTCAATTCCACAAAAGTTGTGTTCAGCTACGTCAATCTCAAATTGAGTAAACAGTGCCGTTTGTCGTGTGTAAACCAAAGTAAGTTCTGTGTATAGTTTTAATTTCCTGCTTTCGTAGGTAGTTTTCATATATAGTTGGTTATCTCAATCATTTACACCTAACTTATATCCCATTCACACCAGCAAAATATGCTTAATTAAACCGGGTTTAACTGAATAGAAATGAGATCGAAGAACTGAATTCGCCATTGGATTCAATTAGTCGCTAACTTGTATTTTGAATGTCGACAAACATCGGTTAAGGAGTTCCTATAGAGAAAACTGACAATTTCAAGAAGTGTTTAACCAAACAGCTTTACATCATGATAAAGCTTTGCGCGTATGGGTTACAAGGCGCCGTTACTGTCTCAAATCAACCAAACCCCCTTTCAGCTTTTTTAATGACAAACGCTTCGTCGCAGCGCCACACATGTAATATTCAGCAACTAAACGTTAGTAGTTTGTCTGACGTTTCAATAAGTTAAAGATGAAGGCAATTTTTAAGCATTTGTTCCTTTATAAATTCTTACCCTTATGAAAGTTGTATACTAAATTTCAAGTGATTACGCACCTTACTGGTTAGAGAGCTTTATGATTGAGTGTCGTAAAACTAAAAACTACCAATCAGAAGGAAGGAAAACAGACGCCTTAAGAATCAATTAGAACTCAAAGTACAACCGAGCAAACTGCTAAAAGCGCGGGAAAACGTGGGCGACCAAGTGATGATTGGTTTTAGCAAGCGTCGATCTGATTGGTTGAGAGTGGCGCGAGATTTTTTAGACAAATTACAGTGCGAATAAAAACAAAACCAATGCAGTTTGATTATTTTCGTCACTCGAATAGTGTTCGCAAGGAAAAACGCAAGTATCAATTGCACTAACGCTGTCTTTTTCTTTATTGTTATACAGGTCCTCACCTTTTAAGAGTACTAATCAAGATGGAATTTACGGAACATGAAGAGAACGTTTCACAGTTTTACTCTCGCGTTGTAGATAACAGTCATGATTGGAATGAGGGATTTCTGACATTTGGATTATGGAAAACGAAGTCTGGTGAACCCATACCACGGCCGAAATGCTACAGAGCAATGTATGATGAACTTTTGGAGGGCAGCGGGATACAGCCGCACCATGACGTGCTAGATGTTGCTTGTGGGCAGGGAGCAGGCATGCTGCGGGTCAAGTCCCAGTACGGCTGCAATACGCAAGGTCTGGATATCAGTATTGCAAATGTGGAAATAGCAACGCGTAGACTGCGTGACACCGGAGTCACTGTCACGCGAGGGAGCGGAACGAAGATGCCTTATGGCGAAAATTCCTTTGACTACGTCCTTTGCGTAGAAGGAGGGCCCCACATGAATAGCAGAGAAGATTTTTTTCGAGAGGCCTTCCGAGTTCTTAAGCCAGGAGGAAAATTATTGGTGGCTGATCTCGTTGTTCTGAAGGCACTTCAAGATTTACGATACCTACAGCAGCTCGTTCTAAAGGCAGCTGCAAAGGCTTGGATTATTCCAAACAGTAACATGTGCTATGGAATCGATGAGTACAAACAAAAGGTCAAGGACGTTGGCTTCAAAATGAGAAGATTTGAATTAATAGGCGACAGAGTGATACCAGGTTATTGTAATTTCAATCTTTCATTGTCAGTTATGCGAGAGCAGGCGAAAATCAGGGGTCCGTTTGTCGGTTACATGGGAGGTCCGATAATTGATATTATCCTTGAAAAGGCCTTTTCTCTTGGATTTATCGAATACGTTCTTGTAGTCGCTGAGAAAGAAATTAACGAGTAAAAGTTTGAAGACCACGGATTTAGAACTCTTTATTTGTTTTTGCGCACAGAACTCTACATGTAATAGCCCACGGCGAGCGGAAATCAAACAATTATTTATATTTGGGTGTGGCTCCGCTCCAAAGGACTGGTAATCATTTACATGTATTATCTATGGAGAGAAGGGGGGGAGGTCAGAGGATTTTGGTGGTGTCGCGATAAATATCACGTAATCCAACCATGAGGTTGGATTACGAGCTTATGATCACCCCACTCCCCCTGAAAACCATGTGACCCCCCCCCCCCCCGAAAATTCTTTGACATCCCTCGAGCGAAGATGGCTGATTCGTTCCTAAATGCAATTGGAGAATGGTACCCCTCCCACAAACATACTCGGGAACACTGCAT